TTTTTTTTTTTAATATATCCACTACAGGAGACTGGTACTTCTTTAATGTATTTACATAAGACGAAAGCTTCAAGAGGATCGAAGCTTGGTCTTCTCTGCTATGTATCCCCTGAGCCTAACAGTAATGCACACATTGTACCCTCCATAAATGAGAGTTGAATGAATTAGCAATTCGCAGTGCCAGCTCTCCAGGACTCAGGAAAGGGGCCAGCGGGGGTCAGGTCCTTACGATGCAGCCATCGGAGGAAGGTGTCGGTCTTGAGGACAGGCTGGGATCCCAGTGTGCGCATCAGGATGGGCTCACTGCCCAGGAAGTTGTTCATGGTGCCAGAATAGAGCGTCCCATCTAGAGTGGGGGAGAGAAGAGAGAACTGATGGGCTGAAGGGCTCCTCTGCCCTCCACAGACCTGCCTCTGAATGGGGTTGGCATCCATATCAGTCTCGGGTGCGGGGGGCCTGCATCAGTTCTGCACCTTCCTGGGGAGCCCCAAAGCACAGACCCGCCCCCTCACCAAGGACCCCTCTTAGCTTCCTCTTGCCACAGGAAATGGCCATCCTGCGTGGCTCTCCATGTTTGGGCACTTTTTCAGCCTTTCTGTGGCTACTCGCTCACATACCTAGTTGAATCACTGGCCAAGTAGAATAGCTTATTGATCCTGGAAGATGACTGTGTTTTCCCCTTCCACAGCTTGAGTCCTACCCTTCTCTCCCTGGAATGCCTTTCCTGCCATCTGTCTACCTATTTTTCAAGGTCCTGCTGAAAAGCCAGCCATCTCCTCCAGGAAGCCAGGTGGGAAGTCTGTAGTAGGTGGTGTCCAGTAGTGCGTAGAGACATGGCTTCGCTCTCTTGTTTTTTTTTCAAGACAAGGTCTTGCTCACATCCAGGCTGGAGTGCAATGATGCCATCACAGCTCACCATAACCTTGGCCTTCTCAAGTGATCCTCCCACCTTAGCCCCCCAAGTAGCTGGGATCACAGGCACTTGTACGGCTAATTTTGTTGTTGCAGTTTTTGTTTTTTTAGTAGAGACGAGGTCTCACTATGCTGTGTTGCCCAAGCTGATCTCAAACATCTGGTCTCAAGTGATCCACCTGCCTCAGCCTCCTAAAGTGCTGAGATTTCAGGTGTGAGCTACTGCACCCAGCCTAATTTCTTGTTTATAATTCCTATACTACCCAGTACAATGCCTCGTGCACCAGAGGAAGTGTTCACATATCTCGGACCCTCGTGCTTCTGTGTCCCTCCACATGCATCTCTCTCCACCTCCTTTGTGGCAATTGCAGCAGGAGCTCATGGCTGGGGTGCCTAATTCTCCCTCTGATCTTGTGCTCTGGGGCTTCTGGCTTCCCTCTCTCTCTTTCCCCAGCCTTTCTTGTTTTATTTTTTTTTATTTTTATTTATTTATTTTTGCGGCGGAGTTTCTCTCTTGTTTCCCAGGCTGGAGTGCAGAGGTGAGATCTCTGCTCACTGCAACCTCCACCTCCTGGGTTCAAGTGATTCTTGTGCCTCAGCCTCCTGAGTAGCTGGGACAACAGGCGCACGCCACCACACCTGGTTAATTTTTGTATTTTTAGTAGAGATGGGGTTTCACCATGTTGACCAGGCTGGTCTCGAACTCCTGCACTTACGTGATCCACTCACCTCAGCTTCCCAAACTACTAGGATTATAGGCATGAGCCACCGAGGCCTTTTTTTTTTTTTAAAGATGATCTCACTATGTTACCCAGGCTAGACTCAAACCCCTGAGTTCAAGTAATCCTTCCACCTCAGCTTCCAAATGACTGGGACCATAGGCACGCATCACCATACCCAGCTCCCCCTGCCTTTTGGAAAACTCTGTAATATTCCGTATTTCACAGAATGACTGGAGAAAGCAGATGTTGGGACGAACTGGGAAACCTGATACTCACCCACCAAGACAGCTGTATGCTTGTGAGCGGGGTCAAAAGGGCTTTGGCCTTTTCCCTCTGTGACCTTGTCCTCCAAGATGGGCAACAGGTAAGAATCCTGAAGTTCCTAAATGGGGAAAGAGGCTGGGGGGCCAGAACGCCAAGGTCTCACATCTGGGAAATGAGGAAGGAAGGGAATGGGACATAGAGGGAAATTGGTCTGGGGCCAGGACGTTCATGAGGGTCCTGCATCTGGAAGGGCAGAGTTTTCCAGAGCTGCAGAGGAAAGGCGGGGGTTGATGTGAGAAGAGATGCTTGGGGACTACGTGTTGGACCCCAGAGAACTCACAATGAAGGTACAAGCAGGGCTGAAGGCGAAGGTGCCGCAGGTGTAGAGATGGGTTGCATTGTAAGAAACCAGGACACGGATGAAGTTGAAACACTGTGTCTGAGGGAGACAGAGAATTCAGGTCTCCAGTCCACCTGCCTGAAATTCCTTGGCCCCCAGAGGCTGCCCCCTCACTTCCTAGTGAGGAGAAAGGCTGGGTAATGCAGGAGCAGTCCCTGTCTCTCTCTGTAGAACAGCATCCAGGAGATAACCATGCAAACAAGCACCCTTCACTGCCGCTCAACCTGAGGTCATCCAGGGATGGTCTCGGGATGCCAGGGCTCTCTACCCCGAGCCCCCACTCCCCCATCTCCACTTACCTCATTGTTCTTCTTCTTAAAGGCACATTCACTCTTCTTTCTGTCACTGGCGGGCCATGGTATCTGAAAGTGGGGAGTTGGGAGGGTGAGATTTAAAGGAATAAGGTCTTCCATTCTAGACGTGACCTGCCTCCCTTCTCTACTCTAACGTGAAATCACCAGCAGGCATGGTGGTTAGTGACATGCCGATGGACAGGAATAACACCAGTTTGTGACGATGGCTATTACTCGGATGATACTGATATCAGACACAGCTCCATGGTTGAACACAGCCTAAGGAAACAGATAGACCCAAGTTTAAATCTAGACTTGGCCATTTCCTGACTGAGAGATTGTGGTCAATTTCATAGGCTGCTGGTAGTAGACACAACCAGGTGCATATACAAAACACCTAACACGAAGCATGCTATACGTGGCAGCAGTTGTAAAACCACACATTTCCTGGGGGAATTGTTTAAAATGTTGGTTCCTGGGTCACACCTTAGAGAATCTGCATTTTTTTTTTTTTTTTGAGACGGAGTTTCGCTCTTGTTGCCCAGGCTGGAGTGCAATGGTGTGATCTCAGCTCACCGCAACCTCCGCCTCCTGGGTTCAAGCAATTCTCCTGCTTCAGCCTCCTGAGTAGCTGGGACTACAGGCACCTACCACCATGCCTGGCTAATTTTTGAATTTTTAGTAGAGACGGGGTTTCACTATGTTGGCCAGGCTGGTCTTGAACTCCCGACCTCGTGATCTGCCCGCCTTGTCCTCCCAAAGTGCTGGGACTACAGGCGTGAGCCACCGTGCCCGGCCTGAGAATCTGCGTTTTTAACCAGCATCTCGTGTATGCAGGTGATCAGCAGACCACACATCAGGACACACGAACCACGGAGGTGGTCGGTATATTGCTAGCGCCGTCTCTCCCTTCCTTCCTTCCTTCCTCGCATTGTTCCCATTATTTTTTTTTTTTTATAGAGATGGGGTTTCACCATGTTGGTCAGGCTGGTCTCGAACTCCTGATCTCAGGTGATCCACCCACCTCAGCCTCCCAAAGTGTTGGGATTTCAGGCGTGAGCAACCGCACCCGGCTAAATTGTTCCCATTAGTAGGGTAACTAAGACACAGAAGCATCAGTGATTTCTACTAGTGAGTGGATATCAAATTATTGATATAATTTGTGTCAGTGTTTTTTAAAATATGCCAGTGATTTCCATAGCAATCATTTTTGCAATCAATATTACTCAATCGGCCAGGCGCAGTGGCTCACACCTGTAATCCCAGCACTTTGGGAGGACGAGACGGGCAGATTACGATGTCAGGAGATTGACACCATCCTGGCTAACATGGTAAAACCCCATCTCTACTAAAAATACAAAAAATTAGGCCGGGCGCGGTGGCTCAAGCCTGTAATCCCAGCACTTTGGGAGGCCGAGGCGGGTGGATCATGAGGTCAAGAGAT